ATTCCCGATATAAAATCTCTACAAAAACAGTACATACACAATCCATTGAAATATTGTACAAAAAAGCACTTCGTTTCGCGTAAAACAAGAGTCCTCAAATTTTAATGAGGAGGATATATGCCGTCATAAGAAGGTCAAACTATCCCAACATGGCGACTGAAAGAAATGTTGGTGAATGTTATACTGGATAACCATGTTTGACCGAACAACTTTTGTTTGTCAGTAAGTGTTATTGTTGTGCAACGATGGTAAATACTGAGACTGTTAATAAAACACATTCGTTGTTCGATACTTTTTTTACCAGTTCACCTTGCGGAGGGCTTGCCTAATTTTGCATTAAGTGAGAAATCGGCAGGACACCCTATTTTAAAATATGCGATATCATTCTCGTTACATAAGATTAAAGGGTCTATCACTTATTTGAACAGAGTCTCAAAAATAAAAGTATGAGTATGTATGAAATTTAAACGCCAAAATATAGAGGAATGGTATATTGACCTTATCTCAACATTTAAGCTCAAAATATTGAGCCATTTGGACGTGACCTTCAAAACTGCTTATAATTCCGGACACGTAACCCTTTTAAGATTTCGGGTCAATTGTTTCGTTGGGTGACCTAATAATCGATTGCTGTACTTGTTAACGAAAGGTATATTTCACCTACACATTATTTTTATACAAAAAATGTCTGGTTTTATCTAGACACCGCATGATGCAGCTTGGGACACCAGTCTCCATTTCCAGATGAAAACTGACGGGATTCAGTTATTTGAAAACTTATCACAAATATTGAGTTAGTTGCTCGGCCTTTAGGTTGATGATTTTAAGGGATTTTAAAACAAAATTTTATCCTCCAAAAAATTATCAGGATTAGCCCTTTAAACAAGCAAGTCAAAGATATCAATGTTTGGTTTCAATGTATTCGAAACTATAGCGGTATTACTTTTTAGTCAAGATACACCAATGCTTGCACTTTTTGGGGGGGTTTGGCAGCGGTTGACATGCAAGATACGCAAACATTTTGCGAGAGATCGATAGGGAACGAGTTTTAAAAATCCAGAAAATCATTGTCCGAAATACGCGAATATCGACAGGAGTTGGGATCTTTGGGATATAAACATACATTTTAAGTTTCATCAAAATCGGACAAAAATTGTGAACTTTATATTTCAGGCAATATTTGAAAGAAAAATCGTTGGACTGCCTATCCTATTAAAGGACCTATAGCTCTAGTCCTTGGAACATAAAATATACGAAAATGGGTATAAAAGCATGCATTAATGTAATATTAATTTGTGTAAACTAATATTGTAATTTCTAATTAATTATGTTCGATACGTGAACATTCCAAATGAAACGGCAGTCGTTTGTGCCTGCTTAGTCCATTCTATGCTTTTTTATTATTATATTGTTGTTTGTGAATCAACCACTTTTAATTACTTAATGCTTGTCTTCTGGAATATAGTTTCTTTTTCTATAATAAATTTTGCAAGAGATGGATAGAGAACACGCTAAAAACAAAAACAATTTTTTGTACAATCAGGTGCCGTAATCCAGAAAGTTATGGTCTGAAATGCGCAAATATCGACAGGGACTAAGATTTTTGGAATATAAAGATATTTTTAAAGTTTCATCAAAATCGGATAAAAATTGTGACCTCTAGAGGGTCCATAACATTTGTATTACATACTTATACAGTGTGGCCATTTTGTGGACAGTTTCATTTCGATTTTCGTGAAATTCAAATTCAACCTTCATTGTGGTGGAATGGTGATATATCTAAACGGTTTTTGAAATCGGAAAAAAATTGTGACCTCTAGAGAATCCACAAGCTAAAAATGCGATTTTTCTACCAATCAGGGGTGATTATCAAAAGGTACCAAGATCTTTATGATAAAAACATATATTTATTCAAGAAGTTACGATTCGATATGCGTAAATATCGAAAGGATCTTTGGGATATAGATATGCATTTCAAGTTTCATCAAAATCGGATCATAATTGTTGCCTCTAAAGTGTCCACAAGCTAAAAACGTAATGTCTCGTGCAATCAAGGGCAATAATCCATGAAGTTATGGTCCGATACATGCCAATATCGACAGGAACCGAGATCTTTGGTAGGTAGACCTATATTTTAAGTTTCGTCAAAATCGGATGGAAATTGTGACCTGTAGAGTGTCCACAAACAAATTGTGGACGAACGGACGGACGGACAGGGGTGACGGCAATATACATCCACAGGAAAATCTGGGCAAATAAAAATACTGGATTCCCCGAAAAACACGAATGGGACATGCACTGAGCAAAAATGTCTGGGTATCACTAACTGGCTGCCCGACGGATTATTATTTGCAAGCTTGAATTAGGGAGTGGTTGTTATTTCTTGATCGAATGGTTAAACGGTTTTGGGGGACATTGAGGGATTTAAATGTACAAGTTGGCAGAATTTACTTTGGCTTCAATATGTATAATGGTAAATAGAAAATGAGTAACGACAAACACAATCTGAAAATAGCCCCCATCCCCTCAATCAAATTACCAGACAAAATGGTTTCTTAAAATAGAATTTTTTATATCTTAGGGTATTTCCATTCAAACACTATGTTTTGAGCGGGATGTGAATCATATTCTTGATTGATTTAATTAGTTTGAATATGTTTTTATTCCAAATATATCATCAAATCACCAAGTTTGTACACGGGAGTGTATCTTTAAAATGAATAAAGTAACTGAGCGCCATGGAAAACGCATCACTTTTCTTTCCCAAATATTTTATTACTAGGTGGTTTTGTATGTATATTATTAAGCAATACTATGAACTATTGTTTCACACAATGCTCCCAAACGCAAAAAATATCGGCCCGTGTGCACACAAAAAAATTGCACGACATGCACATGAAAACCCCAATATTCACGTGCAGCATTGTGTGTGAGCCCTTTTAAAGCATGTTTTCAACTTAATGTGCAGTACATGAACTGTGAAACGTCAATCTGTCGTAATTTGTTGTTGGACGTGTGAAGGAATCGAGCTAGAGATGCCGAGACTTACTGAAAATCAACGGAATGAAGCCATGGGAATGTCCAGGGCTGGCATGTCTACACGTGCTATTGCCAGACACTTCAATTGTCATCAGTCCACTATTGTAAGTTTGGTGGAACGTGTTCGAGTTACTGGATCAACACGTAACCGTCAACGTCCTGGTCCACAACGCGTTACAACCCAGGCTCAAGACGGCTACATTCCGCCCAGCGACTCGAACAGGTGCAGCAGTCGTCGGAAGACAAGGACCATTAAGTGCCAACACCGTAAGACGTCGTCTAAGAGAAGTAGGACCCCGTGTACGACGACCTTATGTTGGAGCTATCCTCAGGGATCATCACCGTCAGCGGCATTTGATATGGGCTCAAGGACACCAGACACGGAGAAGAGTAGACTGGAAAAGTGTGCTCTTCAGTGATGAGAGTCGCTTTCATCTTTATCCGGACATGGCACCGATAGAACATGTCTGGGATGAGATTGGACGCCTTCTGTATCGGAGACCACAGATGCACACCACTGCTGCTTTAGAAGCTGTTCTTGTCCAAGAATGGAACAATTTGCCCCAGGCCTTCTTTCAAACATTCGTTAATTCCATGCGACGTCGCTGCACAGCGTGCGTAAGAGCCCGTGGAGGACACACGCGCTACTGACATCTGTGTCGTACTTTTGGTTTTGACCCCTCTGACTTTGTACCGTTGATTACAGATTAAACATCCATAAGTGTACAAATGTGTATAAATCAGATATGTTTACAGGGTCATTTTGTTATACGAAAAACTAAGTGATGCGTTTTCCATGGCGCTCAGTATATATTATCTAAAATATTCGAGATTTAAATTATAACATATAAACCACTATAACCTACAAACTTATACTTTACCTTGAGAAAACAACAGCAATATTGATAGAAATGGACCAGTATTGAATTCTTATTCTTGTTTTTAATTTCGAATATTATGCCCAATATTGAGCTAGAAGTCTAGCTCCTTTAATATCCGGCGATAACTGTAGCCGATATTGCGTTTACAATGTATTCGGAATGGGGAAAGGTGGTGGGTGATGCTAAATTGTAGCCTCTGTCACATAAACGAGCCAAATTTTGACCGACGGTTCGACGGGGGGTGGGGGGAGGAGCGTTTCCCTATCCACGTTATACTAAAGAAAGCTTATATTTCCCATCTAAGCAGTTTGTTTTACAAATAAAATACAGAGTACAAAACATTGTATCAACCAGCGGCTGCCAGGTAGGATACGCCCACATTTTCGAGAGATGTGGATAGAGAACAAGCTAAAAAGAAAGTGATTTTTCCTACAATCAAGGGCCATAATTTCGTCAAAATAGGATTAAAATTGTGACCTCTATAGGGTCCACAACCTTGATATACGCTATTTGAGAACGAAGGGCGGCCATTTTGTCTGTCAGTTTTGGTCCGATTTTCACGAAATTCGAACTCAGTCGTCCTTGGGGTGTAACGTTGATATAATAATACGGTTTTTTAAATCGGATAAAAATTATGACCTCTATAGGGTCCACAAGTTAAAAACGCGATTTTTCGTACAATCAGGGGCCATAATTCGGGAAGTTACGTTCCGATATGCGCGAATATCGAAAGGAACCGAGATCTTTGGGTTATAAGCATACATTTCAAGTTTAAACCAAATCGGATAAAAACGTGACTTTTCATACAATCAGGGGCCATAATCCATGATGTTACAGTCCGATACATGCTAATATCGAAATGAACCGAGATCTTAGGGTTATAAACCTATATTTCAAGTTTCGTTGAAATCGGATAAAAATTGTGACCTGTAGACTGTTCACAAACAATTGTAGACGAACGGATGGACTGAGGGGGGGGGGGCGGACAGGGGCGACGACAATATACGTTCACATGAAAATGTGGGCGTATAAAAATATAATGATGACAGTTCATAAATAAGCAAATAATAAACGCACCCTTTAATGGACATTAGATTTAATCGTTAACTATAAAATAAAACACAATACATTTTATTACTGCGTATAAGTCGGATAGACCTAAAAAAAAAAAACTGACGTACCAAGTACTATTTCATATTTATATGGAATTACTTCTAATCTCTTATAATTGATTTGGAATATTAGTTTATTATTAAATTTGTCAAAAAAAATATATCTAGTGATTTATTTGAATACACGTGTTTAAAATCTTAAATCATAATTAAATCTTCAAACAAATAAATCAGTACTTAAAATAAAGAGAACACAAAAATACAATAAATCCGGTCCCAAAGTAACACAGATGAGAAAATTGGCAAGAGTAATTAAAAAAAAATCAAACAAAACAAAGCAAAATTGTACACATGTAGGTGTGTAGGTGTGTGGGTACGCAGGGGTGGGGTGGGGTGGGGGAGGGTGCACTTATAATATTTCTTAGTGAAGCAACTTTATCTGCAAGTTTAACAATAATAAAAAAATATAATCGACTGCTGGAATCGCGTGATGTTCTTTGATGATAAATAAGCCTTTATTCTCCCATGCCCGGAAGCCATTACGGCTACGTGTATTCATTTTGAACTATCTATCCCTTGTCGAAATTCGCAGCTATATCCTATTGAAACAAAGTTATTTTTAAAAAAATTAACATACATTAGTAAAAATAAGTAACACAACCAAACAAGTTATTAATACTTAGAATAAACTAATAAACTAATAACAAATTATTAATATGGCTGACGAAATTGGCAGCTATACCCTAATGAAACAAATTTTTTAAAAAAAAAGATACTAAAATTAACATACAGCAGTAAAAATAAGAAACACAACCAAACAAACTATTAATACTTAGAATAAACTAATAAACTAATAACAAATTATTTATACTTAGAATAAACTAATAACCAATTATTAATACTTGAAATAAACAAAATGATTAATACTAAGAATAAACTATAAAAACAAATTCTTAGAATAAACTATAATAACGAATTATTAATACAGTGTACAAGTCAAAATATTTTATCCTGGCATTAATAGCGTCATACACTAACATATATTATTATTCAATTCGACCATTTGTATAGCTTGAGTCAAGGTTATTTGAAGTTTACATTAGTTTCTATTCATATGGCGCCGCCATGTTCATGCTTTTGGGGTAAATAAAGTACACAAATGTGCTAATACAATTTGATTAAACCACAGATTTATATTTCGTTTCGTTTTTATATTCTTTCGATGGCCTAAACTACATGAAGATCTGAACAGTTGTACTGAAAGGTCGCGTCAGGGGTCTATGAGCGGCTTTTGACCCTATGACGACAGACATTGATTAATCAATCAGCGTTGACGTTTCCTGTGGTTTACCCACAGTTCCGTGCATAGCACGCCAAGAAGTCGGCATAACAGATGGTTTCATTGGCTAATCCCTCACGCCTGTTATATAACAACTCTTCCAGATCCTAGTGTAGTACAGAAAAAAAACGAAATTTAAACTATAAAAAAACGAAACGAAATAAGATCTGTGTTTTAATCAGATTGGCGCTAATACTAATTATTCCATTTATGACATTCTTTCACAGTCGGCTTTTGTTTATGTCCTTACAGAAAAATAATAGTACAATTTTTTAAGTCAAATTGTAAACATTGCAAAAAACATAGTGATTTTTTAAACGAAATATTCGACTATTGACAGGGTTCTTTCATTTCATTTCCCAATGAATAGATTCTTAAGCATTACTTATGGTCCCGTGTACGATAAATTCAATATATAAGTCGCATAAATGACATTTAAATAACACTCACTTAACTTACAGTCAGTGATTCTCAACCAGTGTACCGCGAGATCTTCCTAAGTATGCCGCGAAATTTTAAACGGCACACTAAGAAAATGTGAAAAACCACGTGAACCCAATTGAGTATTCACTGGTATCGTATACTGATAAGTTCATAGCTGTGTTTTTCTTTATTTAATTTGTGTCATTCTATGTGTCTATGACTAATCTCTGTCTACGACTGTATTCTGTCTGACTTACCATGTTTTTATTTTGCAATATTTTTCCTATATATTTAGCCAGGTGTGCCGCCAGTTTTCCATGTGTTCCAAGGTGTACCGTTGACTAAAAAGGGTTGAGGACCACTGACTTATAGATTTGATATAATAATATAGTAAGGCAGTAAACAGACTCAATATTTTTAGCGACTTTATTATTTCGTGCTCACACTTCAAAATGAATATTATCTTCTTTGGTATTAATCTGGTTATCTGTTTCATCAGATGTTTCTTTTTTATATTTAATAATTTTATCATGGAAAATGCTAATTTTTACAAGAAGTAGACGGGTATACAAGAGTTGTGTTTCGTAACTGAATTCGTATTGTGATCAAATTGTCACATGGAATATAGAATGTTGGCTACGCCTAATGTAAAGTATCTAAATAAAATTGTGATTATGATATTTTAAGTATTGGAAAATTCAATTTATACATTTTCAATGTACACACTCCATGTTAAATCGGGTCTTTTATCTATTTTCTCTGCACATTGATATTAAGCCATCTGTCAAAAGAATGTAACATTAGTAAAAGTGTTCAAAAAGGAAACATTAGCATGATAATTGAAGACTAAATCCCCACCCCCTCCCTTTGCCTTTTGTGTGAATATTTATATGAATAGTGATTAGTTCTTGGGAGAAAACAGGGGCAATTTCTAGATAATTTTAATACCATACACGAGCTTCCTAATTCCAGCACAACAATAATCCAGTACACAAAATATTATTAAAATGTGGATTTATAACTTGCAAATCGACAGCAACATTGGGTGTTTTTTTCTAAACAATATTTAATTCAGATTTATATCTGAATAGGGATTGGAGAACAGACACAGCCTATATTAAACCCCTCTCCATTGATCGATTACTAAGATAAAACTGTATTATTTGTCGAACCTGTTCATCTCAGCACAAGACAGCTACGGTGTTCCGTAATGCTGAATGGGACAACATATTTTAGTCTAAACCATCTTATTGACATAGGATTAAAATAACCTTGGGGTTTAATATAATATCGTTTAATTACTTACTCTTAGGCGGTCGTTATTTTATAACTGCTTATGATAGGTGCCAATATTCAATGACTCGTGGAAAATTCTTACATCATAGCTTGATAAAATGCATAACTTATTTCGGTAAATGATCAAATAAATTAACTTATTCTTAATAATTGTTTCTGTTGATATGCTGATAATCTGTCGTGTTAATATACAGGCTAGGGTGGAATGGCTTTCGTTATAAGCATCATGTGGAATCCTGGGATATGTGATTGTGTCGGGATATCTCATTCGGGTATGTTCTCCAATGGTTGATTGTAGTTCTGTTGCTAATTGTAGAAGATTAGGATATGGTAACCCACTAGCAACACGATTCAAATTATTTGCATCTATTTTATACCATACAGCTTTTAGAGCCATTTCAGCTGACTGAATCAATACAAATAAAAATATTGTTATGGCAGCGCGTTATACATTTTTATATCAAATAGTGTGTTTTCACAAAGTTTTTAAATGTTTTATTTTAGTATAAGGCAGTAATATTCTCTTGACGGTTTAGTTATAAGCAACTTTCTTAAGAGAGTTTAAGTTATTTGTTAAATTGTTCCAATCCTTTTAAAACGACATAGACACAGGAACATACATACCTGTTGACATTTGTAACATATCCAGTTATGTGTGTTTGCGCCACTAGACAGAGATTGCTCCGCTGCCTTCAAGTCCATGTCTGCTTGCTTCAGCCATCGTTCTGCTTGTCCAGGTGATGGGTTTGGTTCATCTCGAGCTGATGTATGGAAACTATTATCATTGTAATATCGTCTATTGGATCTTTGTTCTTCAGAATACCGTGCGTGATTTCTACCTGTCGAATACACGTTGCTGTAAAACTGTTCATATGAACGACTATGTTGTGATCTACTTGTACCGTCTGTTTCATCATCAGGAACGGATTCGTCATCTAAACTAAGGCCTCTATTCAATCTTTCCACATAGTTCTGTATGTGTTGCGTGATTTCGGTTGACTGCTCAACATTATGTAGGTTTTTATCTGGGTGCCATCTTACCAAAAGTCGTTCAAGAACTCTTCTTCTTTCACTTTCATCTGAATGTCTCCATGCTCGCATCAAGATCCGTCGTATATCCCGCAATACAGTTTGGATGTCTAAATTGTCGCTATTAATTAGGACTAATTCCCGTGAGGTGAATTTATAAAGTCTTGTAACTGTAGCTTGGATGGGTTCCTCCTCTCCTACATCAATACTATATATAGCAAACTCAGTATCAGTTTCTGCCTGTATTTTCTCCACAATAGTAGCGTATATATAATATGGGGGATCCACGGTGATTCTATCATCACTTATGTCCTCAATATCGGGATCATAAATTTCATATCCAACATATTCTCCTTTATCAAAATCACAGAAACTGTTATCCAACAGCCAGTGAAATCTTTCGGGTATGATGGTACCGACTGGTGGAAATAACATATGTCTCAGAATAAATCCCGAGGTTTTTATCTCACGGTCATCCAAATACGACTCGATTTCATGCGATTTCCGTTTACTACCTTCTCCCAAATATCACGGAAATCACCACTGATATCAATATTAAATATACGTTGAAGAATTTCAGATAATGTACGATGAAATACGTTGAGCTTATCTTTCGACCTTTCTTTATCAACAAACAAAGAATATGACAATTGCTCTGATCTGTGTTGCTTTAGAAAGTAAATTCTACATGGCTGTTCACTTCCTGGCACTGCTTGGTCTTGATGTATTAGATGAGTCATAAGATTGACTACTTCAAATATTTGAATATCTATCACAGTTTGATCCCTTCATCCAGAAGGGATTTAACGTCAATAGTTTGTCTATAGAATTCTGTATAGTGTCGCACCAATCGCGCTATCCCTTTCAACAATTGCACATCTGTTAACATGCCAGAAACTTTATTCGTAAAATCTGTGTTTTGAACAGCGTTTTCCAGGCATTCCGGTGTAATTGTTACTTCTACGACCTTGCTTAATGGCTCATTCTGGTACTTTTTAGGAAAACGATTATGAATCGTCCATTGGTCTAAACCTACATGTATATCCATCTCATAAAACCTTATGAAATATGGAAGAGTTAGATTTTCGTGTCCCCGTTGAATGCTCATATTATCCATCAGAATCAATTCAGTAGACTTTGTCAAAATTCTATTTTTGTTCGGTAAAAATAAGTACTTTTCATTCATAGGATTTTTGATTTCTGTTTTTTCCTCCCATAAACTTATGAGATGTTCGGTACAGCTTTTGACCACAATAGATTCATTTGGATTGAGCTCTTTACCTTTACACTGTGTATAAATATCCCGCAGAACTCCAAGATACAAATCGGGAACTGCCGAACTCCATGCGCCGAGTTCTTGAAATAGTGTACGAAAATCACCAAACTCGAAAGGGACATCATAAATATGGCACTTGACATGCTTTGAGAGTATGTTCACAGATGAAGAACTTATCGCCCCAACAGAACCACTGAGCTGCACATGCGACAAGAACAGCGCCATACACGTGATAGGGGTTCATTTTCAAATTTGACACTTCAAGGAAGGGTTAATGAAAACTGCCGCTTGCTGGTTTATCTATCAATGTTTGCTTTCCTATCGGTTCTTGTATACGATTTATTGTTTAGCGGATCTTTGCTTTAGTGTGTTACGTTTAATTTGATCGGGAGACGTGTTCGTCGACTTCAACGTCAACGGACAACACTGTAAGAATTGGCCGTGACACTGCAAGCGGAGTGGGTCAGATTGCCCCAAATCGTAATTGGACGGTTGATTAGGGGCATACCACGACGAATTGCTGAATGTCTGAGGATTGCTGGAACAATTAATCATTATTAAGACAAAAATCAAAAGCGTCCATTTTCACTTTTGACTGTGTATCTCTTTGCGAGTGAAATGGGGCCGTCAGATAAGCCGCCCATATGGACTGTTTATGTTCATGTGTAGGCAATTGGCCTGTTATTAACTATGCACACTGGACTATAGACGTTATATAATGCATTCACCCATATCGTTTTGTACTAATATATCACGCCATACGCTTTAACCTACACTGCATATCGTCTTACTAAACAAAAGATACAGGGACTTGATAGTCGAGACAACAATGTAAACAGTTGCGTTAGCAGGAAAACGAAACTAGTCCATTGTTTCATTATGAATTCCAGCGGGCCTATTTTGAAATGAAATGGAGTTTAACGTCCGACTGTTCTGCTCCGAACTGGGCTAATGAAGACGGGCATACGCCATACAGTGTGCTACGAGGGAAATTATGCCCGGACAGCGGCACTACGCCTACTCTTATATCGAATCCAACTGTCAACACAGCGCATGTCATTAGGCCTACTACAGCCCAACCCACCCAACGATTAGCCATACAATGGGTCAATTCAAATCCCCGGGTTACGCTTGTGTTATGGTTGTGTTGTAGTGGTGTTTAACTGGTGTTCTTTTTAGTGCCTTAACCTGGGCCTCTCGATTTATCACTAGTGTTTACACCATGTCTAAACTAGTTTAATACCAGTGTTAACACTGGTGAAAAAAATACAAAAAAAAACTATAACACTTGTGTTATTTTTAAATGTTACACTTTGTTTTTGTCTTCTGTTCTAACACATTCAATTCTTTGCATGAGCTGGCCAACTAAAACAGAAACACCAAGTAACAAGTAACAAGTTAAGTAACAAGGATCTATGTTGAATTTTTGTAGTCTCATTTGATCATTATTCAGTCGAAATGTCCTAAAATTTCTCGTAAATTAGCAGGTTTGCGATCAACATTTATTTGTCTTACGTTTTTACCATATATGGATAAAAAAAAAATCATTTTAAGCCTTCAAACTAAATCTAAAAACCTTAAAAGAAATTCCCTTCTTGGCGTCTGCTGTTTTACACCAGTGTTGTAATGAATGACTTGAACTGATATTTTTTTAACCCCTAGGGGTTAGTGTTAGAGTTATTTTTAACAAGATAATAACTTTTATCAAGTTATTATTATCTAACAAGTTTTTATGTAATTAGAAATAATATTGCACAAAGCTCCGTGTCTTAATTAAAGATACATTAGTTAAGGGTTTAATAAAGAATTGGCCATTCTTGCTATAATAATTCAAAAATAGATAATAAAAAAAGAAAATATTGAAAATTTTAGTCCAATTACTTTATTCTGAACGGAGGTGTCACTGTTGGAAGTTTGGACTAGAAATAGGCATCAACTGTGTTCGCATCGTCTACGAGAATTGTCGATCGTTTGATTGACAGACGATAACTTCACCCACATATTCTCGATTCCCAAGTAACATTCTCAATAGTAACATTCTCGCTTTGAAGGCCTTTCAAAACCAGTTTCCGGTGGTGGCGTCTGTGACTAACGGTAAACGTTTAAATCCAAACTGTATCCAAGCCATCCGGTCATGTAAATAAAGGTCTAATTAATAATTTCTATAACATCTGAAACCTAAATAAAGACTTGCAATAGGCAGATTTAGCTCTTGCATAATGTATGTTTAATAGATTTATTTGCGTGAATCCGTGCACCTCAATTTCTACGAACGCAAATAACGTATAGTATACAATAACCTTGTCAACGCATCATGTTTGAAAAAAAAAAATTCGCTCTTATTCTGTTGAGTATGTTGGGCTAATATAACAATTTCCCCCTCGAGAAAAATCTCAAATACTTAATTTATGTATTTAATTTCCGCCAATCAGTGCACCTAAATTGCATACTTCACACAAAACTATAGTACAAAATAACATTGTCAACTTATCATGCTTGAACAATGTTTCTCACTCTTATTCTGTTATGAGTATGTTGGTTTAAGTTTTCCCCAGAGGGAATAATTCCAAATACTTAAAAATACATTCCCGTGTACAAACTGGCCGCTTTGGTGATATATTTGGACTAAAAACGTATTCAGACTAATTAATTTATCAAACATTTGCTTCAAATCCCCGTCAAAACACTGTTCTCGTCAGGAAACACCACACGCTATTAAAAAAAACTAATTTTAAGAGTCCACGTTTGGCACGTGACTTGGCAGTCATGGAAACGATGCAAGCCGAGGGAGAATTCGTTGCATATATAAAAGACGATGTATCGTTGCACACATACCTGACGTGTAGAAGTGGGGAATTTAAACCTCTATGGAACTTCAAGGTACGCAACTTGTGTATGATTCGTCCTGGCTAGTAATTCATAATGTATCTAAACTCACAGTTAGATACACAGTCACAGATAAGAGAAATAACCATTAGCTCTTGCATATTATTTTTTAATATTCATCATCTAGTATTAAATTAGTTTCCAAAATGCTCAACCTGACGTACGAATCGTTTCGACATTAACACGTGGTTTTGTTGATGAATAATGAATGAAAATTAGCCGATGACGTCACATCTGTGAATATACAGCGTATATGCACGTGCCCTATTTGCGCTACTCTTTGTACTCTGTAAACATAGTGAATTCACTACAGGGAAGAAGTTGGGCGCTGGTTTGTTTATTTACACTTGCAGACAGTTCCCGTCATAACGTCAAGTATATGCACGTGCCCTATTTGCAACTCTTTGTACTCTGTAAACATAGTGAATTCACTACAAGGAAGTAGTTGAGGCGCTGGTTTGTTTATTTACACTTGCTGACAGTTCCCGTCATTACGTCACACCCAACGTGCGTATTTCTCGATTCTACTTTTAGGGAGCATTGTTAAAATTATTTAAATACTAGATAATAAGTTAAATGCCACACACGTAGTCCCCTTTAAACTTACACGATATATTACAAAGGTACATTAACATCACATAAAACAGTTTTATCTATAATAGAACCTATGAGTAATTTAGAATTAAATACAATGGCTACTGAAGATCCTGACAATAAATCCCCGTCATTATATAATAATTCTCTGGTCTTCATTATGTTTCCATCTTTAACTTTCAACATCAAAACCTAGAATATATAGTATAAAGAATATGATATGGTATGGACACTTTATAGCTATAGATTGTACCGACTGGGGCGATCCTTGAGGTTACTGCCCCCCCCCCCCCACCACCACCACTACGACCACTCCCTTTACGAAAAACACATCACAATCCATATCCAATGCTCTCGACATGCAGTTACCATTATAACTATAGATTATAGGTTTTTCGTCCAATCCGAACGACAACACGTTGTTTGTTGCCAGGCGCTCCACCATGCATCATTGAAAAGGGGAAAGCACACTGGAAAATACCGAGGAACTTTCTTGACCAACATTTGTTACGCAGTAATTGGTTGGTATTAAAGCTTTTGTTAAAGGAGCTAAATCGCTAATATTTGGAAATTGAACCAAGTGGGCCGCAACGCATATAATAATGTAACCTGATTGTTTATGAACAGATTTACATTCAATTGTTTCCGTATTGACTTTAATTTCAAATCAGTTAGGTCCAGCGAAATACGGCAGGAGTGTCAACCGA